AAAGGGAGAGCTTCGCCTTTTTTGGGGATTGTTCTGGGGAAGAATCAGTTTTCTGGGTTTCAGTAAGACCCACTTCAAGAATTAAGGGTTTGGCTTCCGAAGATGAAGGAAGAGAGAGAGTAGGAACTGGGTTTAACGAATTGAGGGGTAATTCGTGGGTGTCAGTGATTCTTCGTTTGTGGGAATGAGGAGAGGTTTCCGGTGATGGGAATGGTGATTCTTCCGCCATTGTTTCACTGTTCAGAATTACAGAACAAGGAGAGAGAGCAGAGAATGGAGGGAGGTTTGATTTTGCAGAAATACAGGAAGAAAGCGGAAATTGAAAATTTGAAAATTGAATGAAGATTGAAGAATGAAAGTGGAAGAAAATGAGATTTAGGGAGGGTTTTATAGAGAGGGTATTTGAGACGGTAGATTACGGAACGGACGAATGACAGAATGACGAGCTGCTTGAGTCAAGGGTTTTGTGGTTTGAGTCCTGACATTAACTAAAAGCTGGTATTGGGTCGGGCTGCACAAGGTCATGATACAAAATGGGTACGAAAAAAAAAGTGTACCATGACATGGGTGCAGGTAGAGGTGGGCATGGGCCGTGTCGGGCCGCCACGGACCATGCCTCGCCGTGCTTGGTGGTGGCTCGTGCTGGGCCGTGCCGTGCCTGCTTCTTGGCGGGCCGTGTCGTGCCGGGCCACCATTTGGCACACCCCACTCACGGCACGGCACGACCCACGTGCCTAGCGTGTCGTGCCGGGTCGGACAGCGGGCCGCCCACTTTTTTTTTAAAATTGATATATTTAAATATTTTATTAATTTATGTTTTTTATTATTATTATTATATTATTATTATTATTTATTATTATTATTATTATTATTTTAGTTCTTTTACTTATTTATTATTATTTATGTTATTTTTATTATTAATATATTATAATTAATTTTATTTTTTATTATTATACATCTTTATTATTATTTAGAAAAAACAACAATGCATATAATTAAAAAATTGACTTGTGTGATAAGAAAAGAATTGATGAATAACTTATTTTATTATACGCCGGTACGATAAATCAATAATACAATAATTGATAATGATAAAAATCGTACAATAATTGATGAATAACTTAACTTTATTGCTTATTTTTTTATTATACGGGGTTCGATAATACAAATAATAGCTATAATCAATAGTATGTAATCTAATTATTCTTCTTGTTTGTCTTCGTCTTCTTCTTCTTGTTCAAGTTCACGGCCAATTGAATTGATTGGGAACTGGTAGAACCCGACGTTCCTTCATCGTCGTCGTTTTGTGCATAAGTACAATCTTGGGGCGAGTTTCAGCATCCAACCAATCCTTGAAACAAACACACATTTCAAGTGTTTCGGGTTTCAGACTTGTTCTTCTATCGTCTAAAACCCTTCCTAACGCACTAAAAGCTCTTTCGGAGGCAACGGAGAAGACTTGAATAGCAAAAATATCACGAGCCATTGCCGCCAAAATTGGATGTTTCGTGCTTTGTGATTTCCACTAATTAAGGATGTTGAGGTCGTACTTCTCTTCGTCGTCCATGCCTTTCATGAAGTCGTAACTTAAGTACATTTGCAATTCCGAAACATCGCTTTGTGTTCTCCTAGATGATGATTCACTACCTGAAAACTTAGACATCATGTTAGCAGCTTGTGCAAATAAACCTTTGACCCTTTTACTTACATTTTTGGATGATTGAGAAGGAGCAAATCGAGACACGGTTCCATATTAGATTCATAAACTCTATATAAGGCAAAAAATTGATTGGTCACATTAGTTTTATAAGATTCAACATCATCTTCATTCACGCATTGAAAATAAATATCAATTAATAAAAATGTGCCATCATACTTTTGCCTTGGATCTAATATAGAAGCAAAAATATAAATCACAGAAAGATTAGTGTAATATTTACGCCATTTTTCCTTCATTGTTGGAAGATATCCATCATAATCGTGTTGTGATCGGTGTTCATCAAAAAGTTGTGCAAGTAAACATGCATTGCTAAGAAAAGAGTGAGCACAAGGATTATAACCAGAAGAAAAACAATGTGTCATACTATATAATAATTGTAAAAACTACATACATTTTCACAGTTAGACCAATCATTATCTAATAAAGCAAATTGTGGAAATTTTTTATTGTAAAAAATTGTAAATGGACCCTTGTACTCGATTGCCATACTCAACATTTCATAGGTGGAGTTCCACCTAGTTGCACAATCCGTTTTGATTTTAATACCCTTTATTCTTTGTTGCCTGCAAAAATCTTTCCATTCCGAAAATTTCATGTTAGAGTTGTTAATAGACATAATAGCATTTCTAATTTTGTGATAAAATGGACCAATTGCTAGGGTTCCATCTTTCACACACAAGTTTAAAACATGACAAATGCATCTAATATGAAGTGCATCTCCATCTAATATTACATCGGTCAATTGTGCTTTAACTAAATTTGCACTAAATGTCATAGAAGTTGTATTATCAAAAGTCATAGACATGATTTTGGACCTAAGATTATATGCATCAATAGCTTGCATTAAATGATGAGAAATATTAAGACCGGTGTGGGGGTATTCAAGCATTTTAAAATGGATAATGCGTTTAATGACCAATCAGTATCCAAATAATGACAAGTCACACACAGATAGTGATATCCGTAACCGTTATCCCATGTATCAGCGGTCAAAGAAAATCTACAAGTAAGGTTACTTTCATCATATAACGTCAATTATATTTATACTCTTGAAAGGGGTGGAAGTGTTCGAAATGGGCATATCAGGGGAGGGCATTGAAGTGTTTGAATTTGGTAATTCCCTACTAGTACTAGTACGTTTTGACTTGGCTTTCCTAGAGGAGGAGGAAGGGTTCAAGTTTGATGACCATAATTAATAATAATAACAATAATAATAACAACAACAATAACAATAATACAAACAATAATAATAATAATAATAACAATAACAATAATAATAACAACAATAATAATAACAATAACAACAAAAATAGTGACAAGAACAATAATTATAACAATAATAATAATAATAATAATAATAATAATAATAATAATAATAGTAATAATAATATTAATAATAATAATAATAACAAATTAAAATAACGTTGAGTTAGATCTTACAACGACACTTCGATTGCTTTCCGCTAATTAATTTCCCGAACTTATAATTTTTTTTTTTAATTTTTATAATAGAGAGAAGTAGAGAATTAAAGATTATATGAGATTTTTTTTTTTTTTTTTGAGAAGTAGAGATTATAAGAGAGTAGGAGTTAGAGAATAAGAGATTTGAGAATAGATGAGTTGATGAATTGTGGAAAAAAAATGGAGGAAGAAGTGAAGTAATTATAGGAAAAATGATGAATTAGCCGTTAGAGTGGTTGTTGGAATATAACCGTTAATATAGCTGTTACAATATAGCCGTTTATGGCTGTTGAAAGCTGTGGAAAGTAGCCATTATGCACAGGTCGTGTCGTGCCGGGCCGTGCCTTGCGGGCTGCGAGCCGTGCTGGGCCGTGCCGTGCTTGCGGGCCGGCCTGCGGGCCAAACGATCGTGCCGCCCACCGTGCTCGTGCCGATTTTTCAAATTTTGTTCACCGCACGACCCACGGCCCACTGCTAGGCCACCGTGCCGTGCCGTGCCACCACCGTGTCGTGCTCGTGCCGCCCGCGAGCCGGCACGGCCCATGCCCACCTCTATGTGCAAGCAAAGTGAGGAATTATAATATACACATTAAATACATACGGAAAAATTGAAAAAAAAATATTCTCACCTTTGTCACTTTTGCTTAAAACAATCCCTCCTTTGAATAATCAGGAAATAATCTCATTTTTTTCCATCTGCTCAAAATAGTCCCTTAACTGGTTTGTCAACTTGGTGACCGATTTTAGAAGGTGACTTGTTACGTGTTGCCTTCTGATTGGTCATTTTTTAAAAAATTAAATATACAACAACAGAAAACAAATGTAATAAAAATAATTTTTCTTTTTTTTTTAAACGCTTCCCCTTCTTTTTCCTTCTTCCCCGACCTGAACCATCCCCTCTCCCCCGGCCAAAGCCTAGCTGCTCCTTCCCCAATTCCCCAAGCCTTTCCCCGCCCATGTGCCCCCCCCCCCACTAAATGACCACCCCTTCCCCGCCCCCACCTTCCCTTCCCTGTCACTTCTCCCACACGTACCCTCGTCTTCAGTGGTGGATCTAGGATTTTCAACAGTGGGGGACACCAATATCTACCAACATAAAAGTATATATATATATATAGACAAAAATATAAAAAATAAAAAATAAAAAAACTTCTATTCATAGAGGTAAATTCATAATGTAATAAAAAATTCCGATCATAACAAAGTTCTACTTAAAAAGTTACAATTGTTCTCGTCGAGTTTTCATATTTTGGAATCGGTTTACGATAGCATCTATGCTTATATTCAAAAACAAATCTTTGTCTAGACTAGTAACCAAACAATCATTCAACAACTGATCTCCCATGTTATTGCACAATCTGCTTTTAATTAGAGTCATTCCTAAAAAAGCTCTTTCAAGACTTGTTGTCGCCACAAGGAGAAGCAACACTAATTTCAAAAGCAGGTATACTATCGGATGAGTTTCATTCTTTTGTGTCTCAACAAGTTTCATGGAAAGCTCATTAAGGTTCTTCAAATTCAAAAATGTCTCATTACTTTTTATATCCACAATAAATTTTTTAAGTGAATTTACCATAAAAGAAATTTCAACACTCGAAAATTCATTGGGATAAAATTCAACAAGTTGGATCAATTTGTTAATGTCAAAAGAAGAAAATTGGTTAATGGGATTGAAGCAAGACATACATATAAGTAATTCCTTACTTACCTCATCAAATCGATAATCAAGTTCTTGCAATTGTAGATCAATGACACTTAGAAAAACTTCAACTCGAAAATAGTGAAAATTAGTCACTTGTGGCCTACCACCACGAAATTGTCATCTCCCTGGGACAGCATACTTTCCCTCCATATTAGGAATTTCAATGTCATACTTAACCATAAATGTGGTTACTTTTTCTATGTGAGAATCCCAACCATCATCTCGTAACTCTTGTAAATTTATCTTAGTTACATCAATCATTGTCATTGCATTCACAATATCGTGATCACTTTTTTGCAATGCCATGTTCAACTCATTTGTAATAGAAAATATACTCTTCATCAAATGTGCCACAAAGATAAAATCAAATGTCATCAATAAGTGAGTAAGTGACTCAGCTTTAGTCCTATCAACACGATCAGAAATAGCTCCAATGTCATCAAGTGACTCAAGAATCGTGGGATACAAATTAAGCACATTCAAAATGGTTCTAAAGTGAGAAACCCAACGAGTATCACCGAGTCTACTCAAGCTACGCTCCTGATTTAAACCAGTTCCCGATTCAAGTTCACCCAAAGTTAGTGCCTCCGCAACATGTTCAGCCTGTTTTTGTCGAAGAAATTCTTTTCTCTTAGGTGAACCACCCACAAAATTCAATAATGGTGCAAGCACATCAACAAATAGGCACCCACAATCAGCATTTTCTTAGCTACGACAACAAGAGTCAATTGGAGTTGATGAGCAAAACAATGAACAAAATATGCAGATTTAGATTCACTTTTAATTAAAGTTTTAAGGCCGTTAATTTCACCTTGCATATTGCTGTCACCATCATAACCTTGACCACGAACTCTAGAAAAAGTGAGAGAATGCTCCTTAAGTAACGATTCATTTGCAGGTTTTAGTGTCAGAGATTTGGTATCAGCAACATGGATAATACCGAGAAAGCGCTCAGTCACCTCCCCTTTTTTTTATTTATGTGTAGCAAACAAAGAGCCATTTGTTCTTTATCAGATATATCAGCAGACTCATCAGCAAGAATAACAAAAAAATCACTTCCCAATTAATCAATTATTGCTTTGGTTGTTTCTTTTGCCCAAGCATTAATGATTTCTTTTTGAATAGTAGGAGATGTCATTTGAGAGTTACCCAAGGCATTTTCAAGAACTATTTAATTTGCCGAACATCAAAATTTTCAGCTGCAAGAAAATTCAGAAGTTCTAAAAATTACCTCAATTCGTCGAAGACTCACTTCATCATGACCACATTGGGGTAACCCTTGAAGTAATAACCACCTCAAACACTTAATAGAAGTTTGTAGTCTCTTTCGATACTTACTCATAGTATCCTCAGTTTGCTTAGAAAACCAGATGCAATATGGAACCTTTCTGATTTTTAAAAGCATTTAAATTCCCCATAGCTTGATTGTGGGCACTCATATGTCCTCCAATATGCTTATCATATGCTTCTGTTTTATTCCAAGCTCTAAATCCACCACTTACAAAAGCATCTCCACCCGGTGAATTTTCATTCTTGAATAAATAGCAAGGAAAACAAAACACTGCATTCTTTTCAACACTATACTCAAGCCAAGATTTATACTTCTGAGTCATGAGGAAGATTTACTACATCAACCACAATTAATCTTTCTTCATCGTCTGGAGCTCACTCCTAGGATTTGAACTAGCTCCAACTTCTGCTTCACCTCCTAAATTTTGAGGTATTTTCAGTTTCTTGAGATGGAGGATTATCAATTGGTTGAGAAAAATCAGGTTGATTTACTTGAGATTGGGGAGGATTAGGACTAGAGGTAGCACCAGATTCTTTATGAACTCTTTTTTGAAAAAAATAAACTTGTAATATCTCTTATTTTTGTTCTCTTCATAATGTAATTTTAAATGAGTAAGATTTTTTTACAATTACTTTAACAAGATACAATTATTTTATATGGATTTACAATTAATTGATAATCCCTCATTCCCTCAAACAAAATTACAAATAATAATAAAGTACCACCGTAACAAATCATCAATGTGCAATATTCAACAGATTATATAATTCATATCAATTTCAATTATAAAATTCATTAACATTCTGATGTTATTGTAGGGCACGCTCTACATATATTTATTTTTTTTAAAGGAAAAATTCATGGGAATAATCCCACCTTTGGACCATTCGTTTTTAGTAATCCCACCTTTGGATTATTATTTAATAATCCGACCTTTGGGTGCCTTTAATTTTTATTGGTCCCATTTGACCAGAAATCGGTCAAATTTTTTTAATTTTTTTTCTTTTCTTTGCCCTTCCCCGAAACACCACCACTGCACCACTCCGGTCCCATCCCCACCATCAGATCGCCCCTCCCCTTCCCGAGAACCGTTGCCAACCCCCACCACCAGACTGAAACTCCCACACACCCACCAAGGCATCAACCAGTCCTTATTCCACCCAATCCTTTTGTAGCCCCAGTTCCACCCCTTCCCGACCACCGCAGCCAACCACCACCACCAAAAAATCCCACAAACCCCACAAACGAGCCTGAACTCCCCACCCCACCTGACCACAACTCCCTTCTCCTTCACGAATAGCAGCCTTGCTGTTGTTGTCTCTCCTCGCACCAACAATGAAAGCCCCGCCGCGCGACGCCGCATCACCAATTCCCTAATTGCGCATCAAGTCACAGCCAACGCCACCAATTACCACCAATTCGCCACCCCAATCAGCAAATCGCCACCAATTTCAACATTTTCGCCCACCACCGTTGATTTTGTTGAAATTAGTGATGGACGGTAATGATGGGCATGATGCGTGAAGCTAAAAGAACAGAGAAACCACTAGCTTGATGGTGATGATGGGCTTGATGCGTGATTGACGGTGCAGTGGTCGGAGATTTGCTCAGGGTGGGGGAATGTGGGCTGGTCACCGGTGGCTAGCAGGGCAGAGGGAAAAGGGGTGGGGTGGTCAAATTTTAGAGGGGAAGGGGGTGGGTGGTCGGATTTGGGAGGGAAAGGGGGTGGGGTGGTCGGATTTGGGAGAGGAAGGGGGTGGAGTGGTCGGATTTGGGAGTGGAAGGGGTGGTTTCAGGTGAAGGGGGAGTGGGGTTGCGGTGGTTTCATATGAAGGGGGTGGGGCTGTGGTGGTTGTTCGGTGGTGGGTGGTTGCTTGGGAATTAATTTTTTTTATTTACTTTTTCTTTAAATAAATTTAATTTTTTTAATTTTTTTTTACCAATCACAGGCTGCCACGTGTCATGTAACCTGTTATAACAGGTTATATGACCTGTTGGGACTAATAAAAAAGAATGGAGGGTAAAGGTCGGATTATTAAATAATAATCCAAAGGTGGGATTATTAAAAACGAATGAATCAAAGGTGGGATTATTCCTATGAATTTTTCCTTTTTTAAAAGGGTCACTTAGATTTATTTTTTTTTTAAAGGCAGGGCACGTGCCACCCAGGACACTATATAGGTCCGCCATTGCTCGTCTTCATTCATTGGGGGATGAAGTGAGTTTTAGACACTGTACTGTAGTTATAGGGATCATGTGGAGGAGGTCAATTGTTGGAGGTTGGATCATAAATTTGCTTTGAGAAGTTTTGTGTACAGATGCTTAGTACGGTATTCTTTGGCTAGAAGTTTAATTTGGAATTTAATTTGATTTCGTCTTTTCTCAATGAAAGTATAGTAGCTAGATTATTGGAATGCAGTTCTAGAGAATTGTAAAATTTTGTAACTTTTGTTGCATTAATTTATATGGAATGTCATGCATTGTTAAATCACTTTTTATTTAAGTGGAGAAGATAGTCTTAGTTGCTTTGCTTGTATTTTGATTATCGTCATCTACGCATTTTAGCTAGCTGCATAATCAACTTGTCTGACTTAACTTATAAGCTGTTCAATTAACTTGCTTGTGGAAATATATAGATGCTAAGAAAAATAGAGCTTTCAAGATTAGTTCTTTTTCGGGGTGGCTCATGGCTGGCTAGTGTGGTGGGGGTCAGGGTCAGGGTCAGGTGAGAGGGGAGTGGTGGCCTGGTGGGGGTTAGGGTGGTGGTTATGGAGAAGTGGTGATGGTGGTGATATTGGTGGTTATGAAAGGGGGTGGGAAGAGAGATTTAAGAAGAAAGAAAAAAGAAAAAAAAAAATATGTTAAACAAGTTAGAGGTTAAGGTAGTGTTTGGCTCCTAATTCTCCTAAGAAACTAAGAAAGTAAGAAGACTTTCATTCAAACAAAAAAAAAAAAACGTCGTTGTTCAAAAAAACGCAAGAAAAATAAGAGCCTTAGAAGTGGCTAGAATAATCGTTATCACCCATTCTCCATCTTCTCTTCTCTTTTTTTTTTTAAAGACTCCATCTTCTCTTCAGATATTAGTTCTCCTTCGTCACTGGATTTTCTTAACCGCTCAAGCATCTACTCCATTCTTTGTCTTCTCAACTCAAGTGGAAAATGTTAGGTAATTGTGTATTTCTTTGATTCTTTTGCTTAATTGGTTATAACTTATAAAAATGGGGAATGAATTTGAATGATTGCACATCAATGATTGCATATGATTGATTAATGGGGAAAAACTAATTTTTCTTTTAGTTTTGCTAAAAGGGGGGAAAATAGGCTACTCTGGCATGTTTTATTAAGGAGTATCTGTTTTACATGTACATTTCGTTTCATTCTTCTCTTAATTAATTATTGTTGGAACAAGTAGTGTGTAGTGTGAAATTTTGTGAAAAACAAAAAGTCCCACATTGGTGGGAAAGGGAAGTTTGTCCTCCTTTATAATATAGAGTGTGGAGTATTTGGGTGTGGCCCTTGGGCTACCCACATTTTGTGGAGAGGGATGACTCACCTACCAAGCCAACCTATCACACGCGCGCCGAACCGAGCCGGGCTAGGCTGGGTCGGGTCGACTCGGGTTTGACTTGCATTACCGTTCTCTTCAATCCTCTTTCTTCTAAACACAGAATTCGAGCACTTTCTATACACTTTTGGTGTTTTGTTGCCCGGTGGTTCAGTGCAAGACCATCGGTACATTATTTCTTTATTCAGAGAGACTGTTTTATCCTGGGGGACATCCGGTTGTGTACGAGCTGCTTGCACACCTTCGAGGCAGTACCGTGAATGTTCTAAAGAGAGCGACATAGTCCGCGACTCAGTCTCATTCCCGGTAACATTGTTCTTACTGTTTTTTGTTCCCGCAGTTCAGTTTACAACAATTTTAGAACAATATTTTCTACCTTCCGTAATAATTATGTCTACCGAAGATATGACTATGTCTAATGACCTTAACAAGCCCTTCCGTGTTGAAGGCGCTCACTTTAAAAGGTGGAAACAGAAAATGCAGTTTTTCTTGACTGTTAAAAAAGTGCATTCTGTATTGACTGTCCCTAGGCCTGTTATTCCTGATAATTCTGAAGAAGATGAACTAGTTTATTGGAATAGTGAAATCGAAACTTGGAATGAAACTGATTTCATGTGCAAGAATTATATTCTTAATGGTCTGTCTGATAACTTGTATGACTACTACAATATGGAAAATTCTGCTAAAGATTTGTGGGATGCCCTGCAAAAGAAATATGATACTGAAAAAGCAGGTGCCAAAAAAGTATGTTGTCAGTAGGTACCTGAAGTTTCAAATGACTGATGACAAGTCCATGGAAGTGCAATCCCACGAGCTTCAGAAAATTTCCCACGAGATAATTTCCCAAGGTATGGCCCTTGATGAACAATTTCAAATTGCTGTTATTATTGACAAGCTGCCTCCTTCTTGGAAAGATTTCAAAAATAATCTCAAGCACAAGACTAAGGAATTCTCCTTAGAGAGTTTGATTACTCGGCTCTGTATAGAAGAAGAATCTAGAAAACAGGACCAGAAGGAAGTCTCTTTGTTTCTGGTTTTCAGAATCACTTATTCATGCTTTGTTTTTTAGCTTTCTAATTTTCTTTTCTTTAACTTTTACTCTTTTTTTCAGAGCCTGGTATCTTATGCTATTCAATTTTCTTATTCTGTTTTTCAAAATCTGAATCTGTTTTAGTTTTCTTATTTCCTTAGTTTCAGTTTTCCTAGTTTCTGGCTATTAGTGTTTGTTTAACATTTTGTTGTTGTGTTGAATTCAAAATTTTGATGATAAGGAGGCCACATCTTCACATAGTGAAAGGTCCATGTTGGATGTCTATCTTAAGGACCTTAAATTAGATCGAACAGCGAAGCTTGATGTATTAGCTTATTGGAAAGACAATGAATATCGATATAAAGAGCTTTCTTGTCTTGCTAGAGATATTTTAGATGTGCCCCTAACAACTATTGCTTTTGGAATCAACTTTTAGCATAAGCAGGGGCGGACCTATTTATGTGCACAGTGGTGCACGATACTCACCAGTAAAAAAAATTTGATGTTCAGTTTTTTTTTTTTTTTTTTTTTTTTTTAATATCAAAGAGACCAGTTATTATAGATAACGGGTCTCTTTGATGCTGCTATTGCATTTTCAAGAGCTTTGCGCTGTGCTTAGTGTTTTTTTTTTAAATATCAAAAAGACCTGTTATTTAGATAACAAGTCTCTTTCATGCTGCTATTGCATTTCATGATTTTTGCGCTGCTTTCTTTTATAATTAAAGAGATCGGTCTCTTAAGTTACTCAATTTTTTTTTATAATAATTTTTTAATACTTTTTCTTCTATTTATATCCTATATGTGTGTAATCAATTTAAAATTTTCCCCCAAAGCTTATCAATAAAATAAAAAATCATAAATTTAATATAATAATTTATTGTAGATCGGGTTCATACAAGACCTGTTATTGTTCGAAACATATTATTTGTCGTACTTTCGACTTGTAAGATTGAATATTTAAGTATTATTTGGTTGTAGTATGGTTTTTTTTGTTCTATTTTTGGATTGAAATTAATTATGAACATGATCTGGAAAAACAAATTTGTACTTTCACAAGTGATCAATAATTGATGGTGACTCACCACCTTAGAAATCCTGGATTCGCCACTGAGCATAAGAAGTCGAATATTGAATAAATGGAGTTGTTACCTTCCTGAAAATGTGGAAGCTTTAATAACAACTCGCAGTTGGATGTTCTCTTATCAATGTAAGTACCATACTTATATTTTTGCACCACTAATGTATATTTGAAAATTCATATGTAACATTTTGTTTTTATTTTTGTAGCAAATGAAGAAGAAGTGTTTGTTGGATCTTATGTGGATTGGGCTGCAACATCATCACATGTTTGATGTTGAGAATTTAGAGGGTGGAGTATTGTAGTATGATTTTTAAAGATTAAAAGTTTGTTTGATGTTTTTGCCTATTATAACTTGTATTGCATTTGGTATTGAATATTGGAAGTGGTTTGTTGTCTAAAGAACTTGTTTTACATTTGGTATTGAATATTGGAACTTGTTTGTTGTCCAAAGACTTCATAAGGAATATATTGGAAGACTCCATGTCTGGATCAGAGTTTATCTTTTGTTTTATTTCAGTATTATGGAATTAAAGGTTGACTTTAATACAAGTTATACAACTATCAGGGATGTGGTTGAGATGCTATGCAGGGATAGGAGTGTCACCTTGCGTTATGTAGGGATACAAGTGACATGTGTCATTGCGTTAATGGTTGAAAATATATAAAAGAAATAAAACAAGAAAACTAAAAAAAAAATCAAAACAGAAAACCCAGCCCCAACCCACGACAACCACGCCACCACCCACGTTCAGCGTCCTTCCTCCCATCGGCCTAGCCTAAGTCCCCGGCCCTCAGCCTGCTGCGCCTAGACCCCCTCCCCCATGCCGGCGCCCTTCCCCCAAAACCACCAATCCCGCAGCCCAAACCCCCTTCAAAATCTATAAATTACCTCCTCCACCGAATAAAAACCCCCAGTTGCCCCTCTCCCACCATCGGAACCCTAGCTTTTGATCGTGGGGGAGGGGTGGTTGGGGTTTTTTATATGGTGGGGGAGGTAATTTAGGGATATTGGGTGGTCATGGGTGGGATTTCAGGGGTTTTAGGTAGGCGGGTTTGGTGGTTTTGGGGGAAGGGGAGCAACCAGGGCGCGGGAGGGGGTACTGGCCGGCGCGTGGGCGGGGAAGAGGGTTTTGGCTACCGTGGTGGTGGTGGGGAAAAGGGTTTTGGCCGCCGCGGTGGTGGTGGGGAAGGTGGTTCGTGGTGGAGGCTAGGTAGTTTTTTTTTTAATTTTTCAACCAATCACATGATGACACGTGTCACCTTAACCGATTATAATTGGTAAAAATGATCTCAACTTTCACGTATTCACTTTAAATAATCCCAACTTGGGATTATTATTAAATAATTCGAACTTTGGGGTGTATTCGCTTTTTGGTCCCTAACCGGTTATTAACCCCAACAAAGGAAAAATACACTTTAATCACAAATATGGGCGATTTACTTCTAATAATCCCAACTTAGGTTTACTATCTAATAATCCCAAATATGGGGTTAGTTTGCCTCCAATGGTCCTAACCGGTCAACGATGGGTCAATGACTAGTTATAACAGGTGACCATGACATGTGTCAACACGTGATTGGTCCAAAATATTTAAAAACTTAGAAAAAAAAACCATAAAAAATATAAAAAAAAAAACCCAAAATTACAGCCACCATCTCCTTTCCACTAACCTCGCCGGAACCCTATCCCCACTCCATAACCTTGCCGGAAAACGGCCAGGCAACCCCCCTAAACCACCGAAACGGCCAGCCGTTTGCTACCAGCCATTCCCGACCCCCGAAATCACCCACCCAGCCCACCCCGACCCCAAAGCCTTCATTTTCTCTCTCTTCCTCTTCCACCATTGTTGCGATTTCCGTGTTCTTCATCGTGAAGAACTCGCAAGATCAGAGCCGCAATTCTCTTCAACACCAGCCTCAGCAATCAACAACAACCCGCAAGATCAAAGCAAATCGCGATCGCCGATAATGAGAGTGAAGATTGAGGGGTCTCCTGAGAAAGTAGTTAGCCCAGTTGCTGAAATTGCCGACGTCGACAATTGAGTTGAATCGCTGTTGTTGCGGTGTTTCATGGATGTGCGTCGGCGGGGATTGGGGCCGGGGTGACTGGCTGGGTTGTTTCAGGGGTTGAGGGTATGTCAAATTGGGTGGTAGCGGACCGGCCGACCATTTTTGATGGGTTAGGGGGTGGCCGGCTGATTCCGGCGTGTTTAGGGGTGGGGGAAGGTGGCTGGGAAGTTTGGTTTTTATTTATTTATTTATTTTTTTTATGTTATATTTTTTTTATGTTATATTTTTTTTATATTGGACCAATTACGTGTTGACATGTGGCTATTAAAACCCAAAAAAAAAAACACTCTTTCAGCAGGTTACCGGTCATTGAGACCATTTGAGCCAAACTGACCCCATAATTGGGAATATTAGATAATATACCTTAGTTGGGATTATTAGAAATAAATTGCCCATATTTGAGATTATAAAAGTGTATTTTTCCTTTTTTTTTTAAGGAAAAAGTGTATTTTTCCTATGAATAATTATAATGTATATAATCCATTACACCATTTTACAGAGAAAGTAAAAAAAATTATAACTAATTAGTCCTAAATTAGTTAGATCATTTTGAGTACCAATTATTTTTGGTTCGAGTCATTTCGGGTATAAGGTAATTATAGTTCAGGTCACTTCGGGTTTTAAGTCTATTCAAGTCAATTACTTAGGGTCACTTCGGGTCGGATCACTTCGGGTTGAGCCAATTCGGATCAGGTCAATTCAAATCGGGTCACTTCGGGTCAATCAATTCGGGTTACAATTGGGTCGGCTTGCTTCGGGTTTTGTGTCACTTCGGGTCGGGTCAACTTCGAGTTTCAAGTCAATTCGGGTCGGGTCAATTCAGGCATAAGGTGACGTTCGAGTCAACTCCACTTCGGGTCGGGTTAGTTCGAATTTGGATCATTTTCAGGTCAATGAATTCGGGTCAATTTTCAGATCACAAGTCGGGTCATTTGAGTCAGGTTAGGATTGCCAGGCCTACTACAAAGTATTGTATTGCCAAATAGGGACTTTAAAAAAAAACCGAGCCGAAACATCCCACCAAGGCACCAACCAAAACACCCTCAAATCACCGTTGTGAAATTGTGTAATATAACTCAACTCACTCCCTCACTTGCTATCTCCGATTTCAAAATTCAAAATCATCTTCAAAAATTGGCATACTTTCTCTTTTATTATTATAAACTCCACTATAAACTGTTCATCATCTCTCCATTCTTCATTTCTTCTCCGGCAATCATACTATACTCCACCATTGATTCAAATCTCGAGGAGAGAGAAAATTTTCTGGGGTTTCTCTCTTCTCTACAATGGTGTTGTTGGCCGCAAGCGGCGGCGACACCGTTAAACTTTTCGATGTTTCCGTTGAGTCCGGCGATCCTTGTTCACTTAGTTATACTCCATCGCCTGGTTTCCAAGTTAACTCCGTCAAATGGAATCATACCAGTTAATTGTTTTTTCCCCTTTTTTTTGGGTTTTTTTTTTTTGGGTTTTTGAATGTTTGATTTGATTTTGATTTCTGGGTTTGTGCAGATTTGGTGGTTGCGAGTGCTGGAGATGATAAGAAGATTACATTATGGCGTAAAAATGGACAGAGTATGGGGACTATTCCTCTTTTAGGGTCTGAATCTGGGGACAATGTTGAGGTGATTTTGTTCATCTTTTTTATTTTGATTTAAGTGGGTTTGTTTTTTATTTTTGGAATTTTGATTGCTGAGTTTTTGTGTAATTGTTCTTGTTGATTTTTAGAATTTTGGGTTGAAGGGGAAAAGAGTATGAAATGAGGGTTGGGTAGCCATTGTAGGGGTATCTTTTGTTGTATTTGATTTTTAGAGTATATATAGAATTAGGTGTAATCGGGAACATTTAAAAATTTGTATGAGCTTTGGTTTGGGGAGATTGTTATGTGTAGTTATGGGTTGAAGGGAACAAGAGTTGGAAATGAGGGTAGTTGTTTAAAACTTATCGGAGTAGATAGTTTTGATTCGCCTTTTGTTTCGTTTGTATCCAATTTAAGACTGGCATACATTGGTATTACCTTTGGCTCACTTCTTGTTCCTGAATCTAGAATGGTCTGTTGTTTAAGGATTAGACGAAGAAGTTGGAAACAAAAAAAAGGGTTAAGACTTTAGAACAAAATTACTTGATGAGGAAATAGTCGAAATACAGGGTTTTAATTGTGGCATTGCTCAATTTAGATGGCTAGGTGTGAGAGCTTGGATTAAGGGGAATGATTTAGAGTAATGAGGTCTGACAAGGGGAGGTGAACAGGTGATCAATAAGGTATTGGACTGGTGGTGCTTAAAGGAGGCAATAGTGGTGGGAGATTTATTACTCTTGTTACTTTGCTAGGGTTGTACTAGTCTATTACTGTAGGGGAGTAATGAACTGTTAATCACTGTTTGATGTTTGATTATGGAACTATGGCACTTTACTAAAGTTGTTGATGATTTAGGTGCTACTTGCTAGTGAATTTAGTCTATCGTTATCTCATATACTTCCTCCATTCCCCTAATATTTTGCACAATTACCATTTTAGGAAGTTTCACAAATATTGCAACATTACCATACATGCACATGCGTTCTCTCTATCTCTCTCCTCATCACATGGGTCCTTATCTTTATTTCTCTCTATCTCTCTCCTCATCTTGAATTTCGTGTCTTCCCCCCTTGTTGCAATTAGGGGATTGGAGGAAATATATATAAATGGTACAAAACAGGCTTGGTTAAATTGAAGTTTCATTCAGTGTTAACCTTTGTATTTATATTTCAGAGAAATTATTTTAGGTAGAGTGTTGCTAACAGCTTGGGAAAAAGGTTAATAATTCAGAGAAGTCTTTTTTGGTTTATGAAAAGTTATGTATGTCTCTATGTTGCTGAGCTCATTAGTTAGAATTAAAGCTCTCAACCTCGCATATTGTTGCTATTGTTGTTATTGTATTGGCATAAGTTAAAATTTTCCTAGAAAATATGATGTCTAGCACTCCTTACATCCCATGAGGACCACTACTATTGATTTATAACAGATGTTATATGTTTGTAATAGCTGCATGTTATAACATCAGCACTGTGTTTGTATTGTGGAACTGTAAAAAGATCAAGGGGGAATGCAAAAATAGACTTGAGAATAATCATAAGGATGAAGGATGTATAATTCAGACAAATAATTGATATGATTCTATATGTGCTTCTCTTTTGATGTTGTAAAATAAGATGGTCTATTCATTAACCAAACATTTTTTTAATCGTTTGATCAATTTTACAACTAGTAGGCCTAAAACCCAGCTAAAGGCTGGCTTGAAGTTATTTATCAAACTAGTCAAGGTTGGTGAAGCTATGGGAATACTGCATATTACTCTTTTTGTCGTCTTAATTGTTTGATCAATTTTACAACTAATATGCCTAAAGCCAACTGAAGGTTGGCTTGAATTTATTTATCAAACAAGTCAAGGATGGTGAAGCTTTGGGATAACTGTGTGTTACTCTCTTTGTCGTCTTTCATTTTAAAATAATTTGAAGGTTTCGTGTGGTGAACTCTGTTTCTTTTCTCTCATATTTCCATGTATTGAATATTAGCTGCACTAGTTTAAATATTGGTGTGTTAAAGTATGTTCTTGCTGTTAATGTTTAAGGATGGGTTCCAATTCAGGAGCTTTTTCATGATTATTTATCTGACTGCAAGTTGGCTTTTGTTTAAAATGAGAACTGAGTAGGCTCTTTATAAGAAAGTCAAGTGGATTGTATATATGATTTTTGTTTACGATGAATTGAATTCCTGGATCTGATTCTCTTTTTTGGTATTCCTGACAACATTACGATTAGTCTGTGAGAGTCATTTTAAGTCTTTTGTGTGTGTGTGTGTGTGTGTGTGTGTGTGTGTTTTTGTGGGTTGGGGGGGGGGGGGCGCTTCTAATTTTGAAGGTGGTTTTCTACTCTGTTTCTTTGATTTTCATGTGAAACTTTTCTGATGTATTACAGGAGGCTATATCATCCATTAGTTTCAGTAACAAATCATCTAGATACTTGTGTTCCGGGGGAAGTGGTCAAGTTGTTAGAATATGGGATCTACAGAGAAAGCGTTGTATCAAATGGTTGAAAGGTCATACTGGCTCAATATCAAGTGCAATGTATAATTGCAAAGATGAACACTTGGCTTCCATCAGTACAAACGGGGATCTTTTGGTCCACAACCTTGCCTCTGGATCTAGAGCTGCTGAACTGAAGGATCCTCATGGACAGGTTGGTTTTCTGTTTCTGTATCTCATCAAGACTTATACATCCTTCTGTTTTGGCTATGCTAAATGCTCATGTATTGGATGTTAAGACCAGATGTTGAGAGTACTTGATTATTCTCGAGTTAGCCGGCATCTCTTGGCAACAGCTGGTGATGATGGCTCTGTTCATTTGTGGGATACAACCGGTAGAAGTCCGAAGGTATGTACTGAGATGAATTTTATGTGAAGTGGCATTTATGATCTTGTGTAATTTTCCTTTTTTTCTTTTTATTAAGTAAAACTTTCTAGCTAGCACCTGAATCCTTTATGTAAAGATAGAAATCTGATTTGTGCTTCCCTTGCATGAATTTATGTGAATGTAGGCCAGTGGTGTTTATGCCCCTTTTTTTTAGTCATGTACCACCTTCCATTTCTTTGAGTTGGTTACTGATTACAGTTACTGTTGGTACAAAGATTAAGGATAGGAGAGAGTCAGAGAGAGTTTACCAAGTAGGTCATCATGTGTAAGAAAATGTAGGACAAATAGTATTGTAAGTGGGGTTTATGACCTTTATGTAATACACCATAAGAAAGTAAGCTTTGTAAGTGGATCTTGTGTATGAAAAATTTGGGAAGAGAGTAACCAATTTAAAAGAACAGAGGTTGTAATCTATGACATTTAACTTTTCTATTATTTATCTGTTTTTTATTAGTTGACACAATTCATTTAGGCACGTTTGCCAATGTATACTTTTAGATGTAAATAATAAATATCTTTAACTACGTATTTTAGCAAAAAATAGTTGACACAATTCATTTAGGCACGTTTGCCAATGTATACCTTTATATGTAAATAATTAAATATCTTTAATTATGTATTTTAGCAAAAAATAGTTGACACAATTCATTTAGGCACATTTGCCAATGTTTACTTTTAGATGTAAATAATTAAATATCTTTAATTACGTATTTTGGTATTTGGAAAATAGATGTTGAGACGAAACTATCAAGACCCCCTCATGACTACGTTTTTTTTCTAACACTAAATCACAAAATAAAGTCAATGTAAGTTATGTGAATAGTGCCCAAAGTCAAAATGTGTCAACTAAAAAAGGAAGAAGTATTTAATGGTTGTTGGTATCTTGGGTTTGACAATCGGACCCATTGCTGTTAGTTGATAGATTTAAAATTGATTGTAGAATTTGATGTAATCATGTAGGCACTTAACAGTAGAAGGATTCAAATTACCAGTCTTATATTCATACACTTGCCAACCTGTTGTCAAATTCTTGAAATCTGATTTAAAATTTCTGGAATTTCAGGTTATCCAATTTCTTGTACAATAGCCTTGATATTTTTTTTTTATTATTTTTTTTTAAAATTTTTTTTGAGAATTTTACTAAAGAAATAGATATTTAGCCTTACATGTTTACTCCTTTGTATTTCATAGGTCTCTTGGTTAAAGCAGCATTCAGCACCTACTGCTGGTCTGAGCTTTTCTCCTTCAAATGACAAGGTCTGGTTTTAATGTTCTCAAATTTTGCTTCTGAATCTTTTAAAATTTCTAAAGACAATGACAGTAATTTGCTAAAACGGAAATTTATGCTGATTTATGCAGATGATTGCTACAGTTGGTCTTGATAAAAAGCTGTATACTTTCGACTCAGGCACAAAAAGGTCTTCGTTTTGCATTTCTTATGAAGCCCCCTTTTCTTCATTGGCATTCAGAGAGGATGGCTGGATATTGGCTGCTGGAACAAGCAACGGTCGTGTGGTTTTCTATGATGTTCGTGGAAAACCTCAGCCTTTTACTGTTCTTCGTGCTTATGGACATTCAGAGGTAACTTTTGTGGTTTACACATCTATACGTTAAATCGTCGTATTCCCTGGTCTTAAAATAAGAAGGCAAATTGTTGTTCATGGCTTCCTGCTATGCTATTATTCATATCAATGTTACCCATGAGGATACTGAATTTAAAGGGCTGTGATCTCTGACTCTATGAGTGCAAGTACCAGATGAAGGCTTGTGGTAAATTACCTTATCATTCTAACAGATATTGTCTCGTCGGTGTACATGAAGGCCCGTACGTCATTCTTGTAAAATTGTGGTTACGAATTTTAAGACTATACATGAGATAGAGTATTGGGGTAAGGATTACCATTATAGCAGTGGGTACTTTAGAACTCCTGATAAAGGGGCGGGATGCATTTTTTCATTACTCCCTGGTCCCAATGCCTTTGAATGGCTTGATCACTTAATGGAGTTATGATGAGAGCCAGGAACAGTTCATCTAAGAAGTTATAGTGCTCACAAACGGCTTGTGAACATAATTTTTGACTTACATAAACTTATATTTTTGAGTGAGCCTTTGTTCTTGTTCAAGCTCAGCTTACCTGCATAAGTGTGTTGATCCTGGGATGGTCAAAGTCTCAGCTCATATACACCCTTATTTACACATGCATTGTGACATGAGATGTTTGCTGTCAATCTTTGGAGAGATGTGCACGCTTTTTAGGGGACTCTTTCAAATTTTTAAGTCCACAATGTAGCCGACCCCACTTATGATGGAGGAGGAAGATCTTTGTGGATGACTATACATAAGAATCACTTTTGGTTAGCCGATGCCACTTATGGGATTAAGGCTTTGATTGATTGGTTTAAGTCCACATTGTGATTGGATGATGTCTTGCACCTATTGTAGTGAAAGTAGCTGGTACTGTTTAAATTTATCTTACCTCTTCGAAAATATTTGACTAAGCAAAAGCTTTTAACTTCACTTGTAACTACTTCGTATTATCCTTGTGAAGTTAAAGGAAGTGGGGAGCATCAGCGATCCTATTTTGATGGGGGCTCAATTTCTTTGTAGCTGACATGTTTCTTTAGTCACATAACTCACGTTTGCCACTACAAATATTAAACCGTTAGTATCTTTAATGACTGATAAAAAATAATTATTAAAAATTATATCTAGAAATTATATGTTGAGACAAAATAACAATTCCCCTCATAATTATATATTTAGTTACATATTAATCACGAAAGACGGTCAAAGGAGAGTGTGAATAGTTCTACAGTCAAAACTTGTTAATTAAAAGAAATGAAGGAAGTATATATTTAATTTTGCAGCAGAATCTGAGAATAAATTCATATATGAAATATATTAATACGAAGGAATTTAACTCTTTTGATTAGTATGTATGAATATTTTGAGAGGCTTTCTAGTCGTTCAGGAAATCTTTATGAGTGGAGTTAAATGTGAGTTTTGGAGTAAACTAATGCCTTATTCTGTTCTCCTTGGATAAGGGTCCATAAGGCCATAACAATTCAACCATTTAAAATTAATTCAGATAAGCTCAAGTAAGCTGAGATAAGGGTTAATAAGTTTAAATAAGGGCGAATCTGTTCAGAAAAGGTTAGTCTAGTCAAAAGAAAGAAGCCCAAGTATTTGGGAAGGTTCTATTTCATTCTTTTTTCTTTGTTATTTGTCAAAATCATAAGTATTTCTGACTTTGACATTAATTTATCAGGCTGTCACAAGTTTATGTTGGCAAAGATCAAAACCCATTGACGTGAATGAGAAAAACTGCACGGCTGATATAGCTCTTTTAGGAGGGGCTGTCGAGGACTCGATTTTAATGCCTGACCCGCTTCCTTCTGCAACATTAACCAGTGCTCCACAAGCAACAACTTTTTCTGGTCCTCGTCGTTCAAGCTCTGCTGTGGAATCATCCTTTGCTGCAACTTTTACGAACAATAATCAGAATTCAGAGGAAACTCCTCATAGAAGCTCATTGAGGACTGGTGGAGTATTGCCAAGATTACAAGCAACTAGGAACTATAACTTTAAGGATGATATGGATGTTTTCTCCCCACTCTTAGACGTTCCAATTACACCCTCACTTGATAAACTATGGAATGACAATGATTTATCCCGAAAAGACCAACCTGGCGATAAAAAAGTTTCTCCACTATTTCCCAATCGAAAATTCACACTTCCTGAAGCTGTTAATGATATACACCCAATTTTTGACTGGAAACCTGGTCCAGCTGCTAAACAGGTATGGATTTTTCTCTTTATCTTCTCAGGTTGTAGCAACTTGCATGTGATTGCATATATAATATCTCATGAATGTTCAGGAACTGTTGCAACTGCATCTTTGCAAGTAACTGTTATCTTCATTTCCTGTTAGTTTGAAGATATTGTGCTTGTCTGGCTTTTGAACTATGCGTGATCTTTCTCTTTTGGTCATTGTGATATGATTGAATGTAAAACTAACAATTACATTTCTAGTATTAAAAACCTGCAATGGGGAAAAATTGTATGTAATACATATTTTATTTCATTTTTTATGTCTCTTTTAAAGCTCGCCTATAGTAAATCTGCTTGTTTATAGCAAATCAATAATTACTCTTAATTTCCTACAAAGGCCACAATTATTGGCCATACATTTACTGCCTGTTTACATACAGATTGTATGGTAGGTAAAAAATTAGAAGAATTTGCACCGACTCTAAATTCACAAAGGCATGTAAGTAATGATAGTCTATCTTGTATGAAGTTTTTTTTCTTACATCTAGTACAAAATTTTCTTAAAATATTTCAGTTAACTTGCAGACAAATTTTGTCAATTGTGTCCACTGCTCATAAAATAGCACCTCTCTTACAGCTGAATTTGTTGTTGAACTTACCAGCTAAAATTCCCAATTTTTGTTTTAATTTGCGGCAATTTTATTTTTCTAGGATGACTTCCATTCATCGCTTCCTGGTTCCACTCCTACTGCATCTTCCAGAAGTGAGGATTCATCTATTATTCCTCCAGAAGCATGGGGTGGTGAGAGACTATCAGATAAGATTGCCCTTCATCGTCAATCTCTAGCATCACGTCTCAGTATGTCAACATCTACCAGTACATCGACTTCAACGTTCACTGGATTGCAAGATCCATCTGCAAGCCAGTCTGCCTTGAGTTACTCCACGAGCACAAGTCTTATCTCAAACTTTCGAGCAAAAGATACATCATCTGGACAAGAAAATTCACCCGGAACATTTGGACATGTCCCCTTTAGTGCTCTCTTGAATGTTGGTTCAAAACCTGCCACAGGCCAGGCAAATCCTGAAGCTATTGGATCTTTGAATCCTTCTCGAAGATTTTCCACCTATGCTGAAAGGATTGGCAGTTCTGCAGCATTTACTGATGGCGTTTCTGCTTCATTGGGTTCGCCTAAAACCAAGAAAACAGGAGTTGAAACCCGGGAAGAACTTCAGAATAGTTTGTTGGCCAGATCTGATACAACATATGCCGCTGAACCTGGATTGCTTCCATCTGTTAATGTATGTATTAACATAGATGAGTTAACTAACCACATGCTGTATGATTTGATTTTGGGATGTATTTTCCGACTTTTTTGCTACACTTTTAATGATGACATACCATGAAGAAGACTAAATAAGTTCCTTTTTCTGTCTCAGGGAGCACCAAATTTACATCAGAGAACACCTCAAGCTGACCTGCAGCATAGATCCTCCAACTTCACCCTTCAACTGTTTCAACATACGCTACAAGAAACTCTATCATCCTTCCAAAAATCAATACATGAAGATGTGAGGAATCTTCATATTGAAATCCTAAGGCAATTTCATATGCAAGAGGTATGTATCATACTAATTCTTAAAATACACTTGCTCTGTTTTTTAGGTTCTGCAAACTCATTACTGTTTTTTTGCTCTGTACCTTTCTTTCTACGCGGTACACTGGTACTCTGGTGCACTTCCTCACATGTTGGCGGTTTCATATTGTACAGACGGAAGTTTCAGGTTTCATGAACAGAGTCGTGGACAAACTAGATTCACTTACAGAAGAAATTCAGGCATTGAAGAAAGAAAATGAACGGCTTCGCCAATTGCTTTGAAAACTCACAAAGATCTTCTTTGTATTCTTTTATTTGGAGGAGGGTGTTTGGTTGTTGGTTCCATTTTTATTCTTTCTTTTTTTGGGTTTTCCTGTATGTATATATGCATCACTGAGTGGGTGATGTGTTTTTTTTTTTTTCCTTTCCTTTTAACTCCAATTTCCTGAGCCAAGACAAATTTTTATTTTTTGGCTTAGCATTACAGGAAATTGTGTGATTATAGCTAGAGAAAATGAGTGTTAGGATTACAAGGCTTTTTGTCTCCGTGATTTGAATCGTGTGAAAAAAATTTGCTAATCCTTTTGATTATCAAATTATGCAGTTTGGCCTTTGATTGAAGATTTCAAATTTAACCCAATTCTATAATGAGAATTAGCTATTACTGAATGCTCTTGTATTCCAGAACCCGACATTGAAGAGTATCTTGGGTTGGTGTGTACCAAACTGATTAATAAGTGATCTCAAAACAATTATATGATGATGGGATTGAGTTGCTAGAGAGTGCATTTCATTGAGTACATTTAGATGTTCGTATTGGCAGTATGCTCTTGTTTAGAGGTTTGTTTACAGAAGGAAATATGACTTCTGTAAGGCCTTATTAAAGCTTCCAAAGTGCTCCACTGCTCCTTAACAACTGAGGTTGTGATTTTTTGGTAAATACAGTAAGGCATGAGTAAAATCAATTGAAGGTCAAATTCGCTCTATGACTTTGACATAGTATGTACCAAGTTCTTGCTTTCCAATATCAACACGTACTTGAGCATATGGGTGCCATATTTGACTGCTCGATTCTATTTTTATGTACTCATATAGTTTTATGCCTTTGATATGTGTTCCGAATTCCTTATCTTCTCCTTTTTGCTATCGTGTATCATTAATTTATGTTGAATTCTAGTGATAAACTGTCAAAATTTTCAGGCATGAAGCATACTTGTATAATTGTAGTTAAAATTATCAGGCATAAAGCATACTTGTATAAAGCATACTTTGAATTTCTCATCCTCTACTAAGTTGAGGCCACAAGGACCCAACTTAGGGGTAACAAATAAACTGCATAAGCCTCCTGTTTTAATAAAAAAGAATACAAAAAAAGTTGAAGAGGCGTGGCCCCACTTGGTCAGATCCCTTTTGCAAATTCAAAATGAAAAGAGTAGTTGAGACGGTTTTAGGGTATTGAGGCGGGAAAGGAGGAGAGAGAAAGCAATTTCATTTCCAAAAAATTTTTAGGGAGAGCAAAGTGAAACAAGAGAAACCTAAAAATTGCGACCTGAATTACTCCGATACCAAGTTCAGGCAAGGGTTTGGGGAGCATGGATTTGGCAATCCTTGTTCATCGTCGTTCCCAGAGTTTCCCAGAGTTCAACTGAAGTAAGTTTCCGTGTACTTGTTTCGTGTTTTTGTTTTTTTTTTCTTTTTTTTTTTGAAGTAAATTTTGCTTCATAATTTTTTAGTATCAATAAATGTCGATATCTTCCAATTTATTTGTTGAATTTCGTTGAAGGTTGTTGAATTTCGTGTATTTGGGTAATTAAGGCTATTTGTCGAATTTCACTGTTGGTTTGTTTAGGTTTGAATAGGTTTTGTAATGTTGTGATTGGCGAATTATGTGTTCGTGGATTTGTAAATCTGTAATTGTTCTTAGTAATTGTCATGGGAATTGGGGTTTTAGGGGGGTGTCTAATTATCTATTAATTTATTGGTGTAGAATTATGAGGAATGTTATTGATGCTGTATTACCCACTTACTATGTAGGTGTGGATTGGAATTTTGATATTAGTTATTTGTGAAATTGGTATTACGCTGATACCATCTTATGGCTTGTTGGTATTGATTTGATACAATTTTATTCAACCTTGTCGGTGGCTGTTAATTTTTTAGTGAGAGTGATATTTGTGTAAATCTAAACATGTTTGAACTTAGTATGAACTTGTTTGTGTTGGTGTGTTGTGTCCATTAAATTGGGAAATCATGTTGTGGTTCGATTTGTTTGTAAACTGCTCTGGTGTGTGTGTGTAAATTGGTGTTTGAAGTTAATGATTTGGTTTTTGTGTGTGTGGTTCTAATGTAGTTAGTTATGGTGTTCGAGCAGTTCAATGACTCCTCAGTAGGCTGTAGAAGTAATTGGGGGTGAGTGATTTGTAATTAAACCCTATAAAGTATGTTACAGAAGTATGTTTAGTAATTTTGTTTTAAGATTATACATTTCATGAGTTTTGTTCTCTGGTCATTTAAGTTATGTATGGTTTTGTTGAGTTTGGTAATAAGTGAATGTATATATTAAATCCTTTTGCATTGTACCACTTGCAGTCTAGTAAAAAAAATCACGAGGCATGTTGTTGTTGCTTCTTGTAGCAAACAGACCAACTATAAAAAGAAAAAGAAAGTTGTGGTTGTTGAGGATAATGAGGATGGTGAAGATTATAATTTTGATAGAATGATTAGTGGGTCAGATTTTGATGATGCTGACTATGTGTTGGAAGAAGAAGACTATGCTGAAGATGATTTGAATGTTGCTGACTATGAGGAGGAGTCAGAGTATGTAGTTACTCATACTGATAAGAAGCGTAAAGTTGTTGCGCCGCCAAAACCCCCGAACAGACCTCCTGAGAAACAACAGAGGATTGTGAGAAGGGTAAAGTGGCCAGTAGTAGTTGAACAAGGAGAGGTACAGTAACAGGGAATTTCAAATTGGATATTAAATGAGTTTGTGGATTTTAAATTAAATGATAGATGATATTAAACATGTGTTTGATGGAGCACGCATAACTGAATCAAATCCATCAGGACTTCAACAACTTCCTTTGATATGAAACACGCATAACAATAGGTTCAAGAGCTAACATCAACTTATCATATCTCATCACCTCTTCCATTTTGGACGCATCATGATAAGCAACTTTGGTAAGGGTATGTTTCCTACTAATATCCTTTCTCCACCTATCAAGAATGTACATGGGAGGGACCTCACTAACGCTATTCATGTCTAAAACCTTAATTATGTGCCTAAAAAAAATCCCATGACATTCGAAGTGGCGACAATCATAGTACGCCTCTTTACTCTCCTTGTTATACAAAACTGTATAGTCATTAAGCCGACCTTTGAGGGAAATTTCTCTCCTCTTTTCTTGCAATATATCCATACACGGTCTGAGAAGACATGCTCCTCCTCATTATGTGACACCAACTTCTTTGACCCGACAAGGGTCACATATGCCACACGATTGCACTGATTTTGTATTTCAACAAACTTTGCATCCGTGTACAGTTTTTGAAATTTACGTTCCAGCATAAATTTCGATAATAAAGGCCTCACATAACGCACTGAGTTCGCATTCGTATCCTTCTCATTGTTTGCACAGCTTTCCATCGCCTTACAGTAACTAGGAGCAAACTCAGTTAGCCGAGTGTGCTTGTTAATATACCCATAAAAAAAAGCTATTTATGTTCTTTGATTTGTCTGCATTCCTTCCCAAAAGACATCTTTAACATACACGGGATCCACATCCCTCGCTCCTCAAACAGGCCTATCGACAAACATAAACATGACTATTCATCATCATCTACCCTAACTAACAATACACTACAGCTGGTTATGAACACATTAGGGACGGTAATCACATAACACTAGCCATTATCCCATATACCACCTAATAAAAATATTCTTATGAGACATCATGAACACATCACTCTTGAAAAATATTGTTCATTTTTAGGTTAGTTTAGGCAGAGAAATTCGCATTAGGAGATCATGTGTCACTTTCAGCATTTCTAGCCTAATTGTTATTCTGTTACATATGTCAATGATGTGACCTTCTGTTCTATACTATGACCTAATTAGGACTTTTGCATTTTTAAATTTTACTTTTCTTTATATATTACCCGTCCACAGGGTTGAATTATCAGCTGGCTTAACTAAAAATAACATCAAATACACGACCTGAACGCAATAGCATACTCAATATGGCATAGCAGCATGTGTCATAGCAAATGTGTGATGCACAATATCTAATAATAACTCCTCATTTCAGTGATTTTACATTATTTACTACATCTAATAACCAAATGTGTGATGCACATTAACACTAAAATTTAGGCACTTATGTAACACCCTAAAAATTCATTTCCTTTAAAATACCTGTTTTGCCCTTTTTAAAATACGAAATAGGAAAATCTAAGACATTACCGCCACCGTGAAAATGGCTAAGGAAAATATCAAAGACACACAGCGGAAGATTAACTTTAAAACCATTCAAAACAAGTCAACTCAAAAGTCAAACCAAACGAAAGTAAAGTCAAACCAAAGTCAAACGAAGTCAACTTACAACTTGGAACCATTGTAGGCCCTTAAAACCAAACAATACTGAAAACCTTTACGTTAGTCTCACGAGCATAATAAAATAAATAATATTCAAAGCAAATAAAATACATCATATTCCTATGGAAACTAAGCATGATTCGCTCTTCACTCATGCCCATCATGAAAAGTGCTTCATCACCTGAAAAACTGCTCTCTACTTGTCCCCACTACTCGCCATTAGAAATGGGTCATCGTAGGGCCAAGGTAAAGACAAGGCCAAACAAACATACAACACACAGTCAGCAATCGTGAGTACATAAGCGTAATAAACACACACTAACATGTTTTTATCATCACACAACTTACCTTGTTGCACTTGTAAACAAACATACAAGACATTCAACATTTAACTAGACAAATACCAATGTCCATTTAATTTGATTATGCATCAAACGGGTTTCCAACCAAATCTCTGCCCCAAATAAATTAAGGTAACTACATTGGGAGCTAACCGGGTAGGCAAATGTCACATGAAGTGACTGGACGTCTTGCACATAAAATAAATAAAAAGGAAAATACAGCGTCCTATACTTCCTGTAGAAGTTATGGTCAAATATAAAGTCGCATAACTCCCCCCATATGTTCATACTTGAGGTATATACGTTCCAAGAGTTTTGGTGCGTAATCTCTTTCACTTGACGTTGTTTACATATTATTAGACTTGGTGATGACTCTCAACCATAACACAATCCAACATTATAATCATTCAAGCAACCAAACATACCAATTTAAATTCTTGAATAATTAGTGACCACATAACTTTTAATAGTTGAACCCTTTTTAATCTACCTCGATGTCAAAGACACCTTAAACGCATAATGCGCCGCAAATCCTATCCCTCGGTGTTAGAAACACCTTAAGTGCACATAGGCACTGCAATATAATTTATTCCTGTGTACTAAGACACTTGATAGCTCAATTCCCATGCTTAAAGCATGAATAAAAATTATATGAACCATAATAAAATTTCCTTTTCATATTCCAAACCAAATTAAA